CTGCTCCTGCACTTGGACACCCCCAGGGTGTCCCAGGGTGATGGACCTTACCTGGCTACTGGCTTCCATCCACCTTCCTGCAGCTTCAGAAAGGCTTTGCAATGCTTCACACCCAGCTCCCTGCCCCAAATCTAGGCTGGGGGCATGGTAGAGTCATCCTACAGCCCCAGGGTCGGGTGTAGAGGGACTTACCTCTCTCCTGGAGCCAACAGCCAAAGAGGAGGAGGAAGGAGAGGGGCACCCTGGAGAGCCAGGGCGTCCCTGGGGACACACTCGGTCCCTGAGCCGCCGGTTTGTTCCTCCTGATTAATTTTTTTGCACTGCAGTCAGTGGGGAACAGGTTGCAAACAGCCAACGTGGTACAGAACGGTGGTGGGGAGAGGCTTTGTCCATGCTGGAGAAGGGACCTTGTCCTGCTGCTGGGGGACATCTCCAGCCAGCTTTGCACCACAGCGGGACCACCCTGTCCCTAAACCCACCTTCCAAAGAGTCACGCTGTCCCGGTCCCCCTGAGGTCACCCCAAGGAACCTAGCAGGTCCTGAGCACCGCCGAGATGCTCCGAGCACACCCGGTCCCCAAACTCCGTGGGAGCAGGACCCGGCGGGGACGCAGGTGCCTGGCATCCCTCAAACGACCATCCCTGGTCAGCCAGCCCAAGCGCTCGGCATCGATCCCAGGAGCTCTCCGTGACCACGGCCGTGTCGGAGCAGGGCCACGGCACGTTCAGCAGCGCGGCGGGGCTCTCGCAAGGGCTCTCCGCAGCGGGGAGCATCTCGCTCCCGGCCTCTGAGGAGGGCTCTTGCTTTAATTTCTCTTTGGCCCCCAGCCACTGATTGCTCACATTTGTGACTGCTTTCTTTTCAGTTTTCTTTTCAGCTTTTCCATTCACCCCTCTGTTTTAACCATCCCGGCCTCTCCCTGCACTGCCGGTCTCAGATAAAAGCCCTCGCGTCCCTGGGGTGGGTTGTCAACAGGTAGAGCCCCAAAATCTCTGTCCTGGAGATCCAGCTGAGACCCCTCCAGCTCACTGCTGCAGTGATCGGAGTCGTGCCAGGTCTCTCCGGGGCTCACACTGTGCCCGGGGGGTGCAGGGGGTTTAAACTGCCTTTGGCACCAGTCAAAAGGTGGCCCTGGGAGCACCCCAGCCCCAAACGGGTGTGAAATATCAACCCTGGACCCACAAATCAGGTCAGAGTCACCTGCTCGGCCCTGCGGCCAGGCTGCCCAGACAGCCCAGGGAGGACCGGCCCATTCACCTCAATGCGGTGTTCACTCTGAAACCTAAGGATGGCACCGCTGTGGCCATAATGCTGATTATTTAAACTTTGACAGTCAGAGCAGGCAGAGCCAATGCATTTGTCAGCTCTGCAGTGCCTTTCCTTCAACAAATGAATATCGCGTGGGTGTTGGAACCAGCCTGCCGTGGGCTTTCCAGCAGGCGCCACTCCAAGCCGTGCGAGAAAGCAAGGAGCTCGGCCCCAACACGCAGGCAATACTGCTGCTGAAATCACCGTCCCCGCTGCCAGGGACACCCGGGGTCGGGACAGAGCTCTGCGGGCGTGCAGGGAGCCGGCAGTGAGGAGACACGGAGGCGGGAGGGGTACGGGAGCTGACTCAGCTCATGGATGTCTTTATTCGAACTCTAGTACGGTTGGACAGGGAGAGGCATGCGTACAGGACAGACGGAAACGGGAGTAGTATTGCCTTGATCACAGAGATATGTAACAGCGTTAGAAAGACACTGACCCTTCCAGGCCACCGCATTCACCTATTGCTTCCCATCCCCGTCCCCGCGCCCGAATCGACCCGCTCGTCCCCCCCATCCCCTCGGGGTCTGCACCCCGGGGT